GGGGGGCATATTTCAATTATTTTTCTAATCCTGACTATCTCCACTGATTGACTTATATCAGAAAAATGTGTCCTTGTTCACATCATTACAATTAGATTCATATTGATCTAGGGCCAAAAGCAATGTCGCACCAAGTGCATTCATTTTTAAAAAGTGACGAACCAATGAGAGAAAGATTGTTTGCTATCTAAAAGACGGTTCTGTATTTGGAAAGAAAGACAAGTAAAAAGAAGGATAAAAAGAAATATTTGAAAAACAAACTCGTTGAAATAGTTTCGGATCGTCTCCGTTATAATTGATATACAAAGATGGCTTGTTGGGGTTTTTTTCCAGGATGCGAAAGGCTGCAGCCCTAAAACTCGACCTTTTGGTTCCCCACTTCATCCTCCTTAAATTTAATTCAAAGAAAAACAAATTCTTGTAAAGATGATAATAAGAGGAAGTATAATAAGGGTGAAAAATCTCAGAGGTCCCGTGTGCAACTGCAAAAGGCCATAATTATGGGCGCGTGGGGTAGGCCCAGAGCAACCTATTAAGGTAACCTAAACAATGAAGGGGAAAGATCAGGGAAACGTAGCTTTTTTAAGAGCATCCGAGCAAAGGAATGAATGGAGAACCAAGATTGTCGGTGTCTGCCGCAGATCTGGCATTGAATGGTAATGATAATAATATTATTTAACTCACGTTACCTGGTAAATGAATGCCATGAAAAGCTCCATGGAAAATACGACGTCAACGCGCGAAGAGTTGATTTGTCGGAAGTCTCGCTTTGGAAAGACCTGGTCGATTCGAGCAGAAGGGAACACACGAATTTGCTGCGTTTGCAAATTGGAATTGCAGGTCACTGATATTGAAAAGTTTGTCCCTGGTCCCCACGGTCCATCGGGCGTCGTTGTTGAGAAGGTACAATTGAAGGGTTCTTGAAGCCCTACAGGGAATAGAATTGACGCAAACATAAATATTGGTGACTTACGAGTACTGTGTAGAGAATAGCAGACTATAGCATACCTTGCTCACTTTCTTCTGATCGTGGTTAAGACGAGATAAAAATCAAATTTCTCTGTTTAATCTTCTCAAGTCTTTGCGTGCGGATCTATAAGTTGGATAACCAACAGAATCTAAAAGCCCATTCATGAAGGTCACTGCAAGCTAACGTTTCGACACATTTTCTTTGATGTAAGCCTAAAGCGGATTTAAAAAAATAATAGGGGATTTACAGCATACGCCTAAAACATCGAAAAGTTCACCAATTTTGATCAACGTCACACTTAGACGTGCGACTATAAAACATGGTCCAATAGATGGTGAGTACTTTTCGAGACTCACGTGGAGATGTCTTGACAGTCTGTGAAGAAAATCTACAAGCTTACACTGAAATGTCGGGGCAGGGTGGTGTCGCCGTTTCAAAATGAGCAATTTGTGGGCAAAGCTACAGTTAATCAATCTTGTAATGATCCTGTGTATGTGCCCAAAGATCGGAATTCAATATAGGGCCCAAAGAGAGGAACTGTGTTATAACTAGGTAAAAATTTTTTTGTTTGGTCGCTGGCCTACAGGAGTAGCAGGCAAAGTCCCATGCAAATAGGTAAATTAATAAATGAGCTAGAATTATTAACGCGGACAGACGAATGCGAACAAGCTAAAATTGACAGCAGACACTCGTAGCCCTAACATGAGGTAAGACGTGCGTATAGGAAACATGTCTCATTTAGGTTTTCTTTTCGTTCAGTGATCACTTTCAGTACAATCATGGAAAACTATCCTGCACTGTAGTCATGATAAGAAAATACGTAATATTACTTTTATTTCAATCTCAAATTGGCACACATTCCGCGTGAAAATTGTAAAGAAAATTTCTCATAATAGCCTACATTTGTCTTGTCTGATTCAAAACACTTTCACTATAAATTCTTCTCCCCTTGGGGTAATAAACTACATAATAAAATTACATCTGCACCACTGAACAAAAAGACATTAGCATTTTTAAAAGATTCTTAAAATGCGTACCAAATACAATGAACGTGATGGGGACATATAGTGGTAGTGAGCCATCATCTGTGCGTTTTTCAACTTTCGCACGCAAAGTAATAATTGTAGGGGATTTCAGTCGAAGAACACTGTTCAATGGCCTGTCCACAGAAATGACTCCGGAGTCAGATATACTGAAAAATGCTGAAACGAGAAGAAGAAAAAAAGAATGTGTGTTTACAGTTTATAATCATGTCATAGTAAGTACATGTTCATAAAAAGGCTTTGGTTTCTTAACAGAGCAAGATTGTTAATAGTCAACACGTAATTCAGAAATGCATTAAGTCTTCAGTGGGGCTCTCGTGGGCTAGAGGTTACGATGTTCGCCTCTCGTTCTGTAAGTCCTGGGACCCGGGTTCGAAACCTGACAACGACGGAAAATTTCCGTCCCTAAAATATTCTTCTTTCACCTCCTTTTCCTCCACCCTCAGCTCAGTCCGACATTGTGTCCTTTGGAAAGGCACTTTACACGAATTTCCCGCTTGGTTCGGTCCTTTTGGAGATGAACGTTTGACTCTGAAGTCCCGCTTCTTAAATAACCTAAAAGTGTTAAACCTATACCATTTTTTCACCATTTCACCTCGTTTCCTGCTCTGTAACCATGGTCCATATTTGATAAGAGTAGGCTTCGGCTGTCACCCGGGCAAAATACAAAATGTATTCCTACCAAACTAAAAATGTATAATAATGTGTCCCACGCGCTCATATGACCTTATGCGGTTGTGAGCGCCGTAAAACACTTACAGAAAAAAAGATAAATAAAATAACTGTTCAGTTGTCTCAGTGGGATTATATATAATCTATACTCTTACATTTTTAACTTCACACCTCATATTAAAGTAAATAATATGTTTATTAATATTTATCAAATTTGTCTGAAAATTTTAGATAGGACGTCGAATTCATTTTGCAACAAGGAAATACGTTGAATGCCAAGAGAAGAATGTTTCTGATGTTCAATTTTGAACCTACAGTTGTTAGGGGTCTAAATGAAAAGTAACAGCTTCAGTAACGTGTGATGACATCTTGCGTAATTCATGTCTTCCCATTGTCGACGCATGGACTGGATGAGTCGAGGTATTGACTGTTGAGGGATATGATTCCACTCTTGAATTAAGACTTGTTCTAACTGAGCAAGGGTCTGGGGCTGATGTCGCCAGGCATGAATGGCGCGATTTAAAATGCCCCGCAAGTGCTCAGTTGGACTGAGATTTGGTGAATGCGCTGGTCATGGGTGCAAGAGAGGAATGTTGTTAGCTTTCAGAAGTTGATTCGTCAGAGCAGCGTTATGAGCAGGTGCATTATCATGCATGAATATGTGTCCTTGGACCTGATTTGGAAAGAAAAGTACATTGGGCTCGAGAACTTGGTTGATGTTGCTTTGAGCTGTTTTGTTCTCCCGAACAGACAGAAGTGTGGTCCTGACAGTATCGCTGATTCCAGCCAACACCGAAATTGTTTGCTTGTCTGGAACAAACTAGGGTGTACCTTTTTTCTGGGTCTTCTGAAGACTCTGGCCTGTACATCGTGCCGTTATAGCTGAAAGTGGGATTCGTCTGAAAACATGCACGTATTCCAAAGATGACGTCGCCTTCTCGTGCGATGCTGTACCCAGTGAAGTCTGCGCTGGATTGGATGGGGCTGCAAACTTGGCCCCCAGCACGAAGATTCCCTTCTTTCAAACGACAAGGAACAGTCATGACAAAGATCGGATTGCCATTTTAAAACTATGTTCGAACCATTTTGAGTCTGTGTTGCCTGACAAAACCCTCCCTTTTGTCTCTCTGAGTCTTGCTAGCTTGGATCTGTCTTTTTTTTTAGTCAATCATTGCAAAGTAATCTCGTGTCGCATACGTAGATCTAGTGGGCCTGCTCACATAAAACCTTCTCGCGACGGACGAAACCGAAGTGCCCACCTGAAGCATTTCAATTATGTGATTTCTCTCTGATTCTTTCAGCCGAAGAATGGTGTATCGATGAAGAGAAACCACTTTTAATGTGGCGAACAATTTGAAAGGAGTCCAACTTTACATGTGGCTTATTTTTTTCAACATTTACCACAGATTTTCACAGTATTTGACAAAATATCAAAAACACGTGAATGATATCGTCAGACAAAACAATATACCAGTGCACCTTAGTGAGTACACTTCACGAGTGACAATGCGCTCGTGTGACATGTGTACAAGTTTCAAAGTAATTCCATGTTTAGTTTTTTAGCTACACACTCTTAAAATGTGTGAAGTTAAAAATGTTAAACAGTGTATGAGTGTATCACGCCTACAAATCCTGCTAAGATAAAGAGATTGTAGAAACTCTGCACAAGTTACACTTACTGCTCGCAATACTTCAAGGAAGCATTTTATTTATACCACATAACACACTTACTTGTATATCCACAGCCGACCCATAGTTTAAGCCTACATGTATTTTCCTTTCACGTAGAGCCGGATTGCTCGGCTGTTGAGGCAGCCAAGCTGTCTTTAATGTAGGCTTGCTCACATTCATTAAAACATATTGATACAAGTCATTGGGCAAAACTGGAGACTCTATGTTCGATAGATGAGGAAATATTTGACAATAAGTTGCACCGCGAAATTTTGACCGCTCTATGATTCTGGGAACAGTCACATGAAGTGTTTTATTACAACACAGCCTGCCGGGATCATGACGTATAGCTTACTCGTCTCATCGGTACCTCAGAAGTAAAAAGTTCCATCTGACATATTTGGTCATTTTGAGTTACCACGACCATGAGGTCAGAACCAAAAGTTCTATCTGATCTGTCAAAATTGTAATATTGTTTGGAGTCGTTATCAAGATATTCAAAGAATCTCATTCGAAAAAGCTTGACGTGTTGAAACTCAAAATCTATTTAAGGTCAACCTTATCAAAAGTAGGTACTGAGCAGATAAAACTTTGCAATTCGTAAGTAGCGTACGTGTCGTCGCAGAATAATTCGGGGGCTCTCGTGGCCTAGAGGTTAAGGTGTTGGCCTCTCATGCAAAGGTCCCGGGTTCGAATCCGGGTAGCGACCGAAAATTTTTCTTCTCTAAAATTGTCTCCTTTCACCTCCTTTCCTGCTCTCTAGCAATGTTCTGTAGTCTGCTTTCATTTCCACTTTCTGCCCCCACCCTCTCACCTCCTTTGCCCCCTCCTCTGGGCTCCTGACTCTTTCTGCAGCCTTTCTACTGCTACTCCTTGGCTCCTCCTTACTACTGTCTTTCTGTCACACCCCTGATCTTCTGGTAGGAAAGATCTACACCTAGCCTTCTCGGACAAGGGCGAAAAATCTCGGAGGGCCCGTGTGCAATTTGCGCACGTTAAAGATCCCTTGGTGGTCTAAAATCGATAAGAGTAGGCTTCGGCCGCCACCCGGGCAAAATTCGAAATTTCCTACCCACTGAAAATATTAGGTGTGTCCCGCGCGCTCATATGACCTATGCAGTTGCGAGCGCCGTAAAACACTTTACAAAAACAAAAACACAAAAAAAGCAGAATAATTACCTGCAAGTTCGCCAGAGAGCGAGAACGAGAGAGCTGAAGTGTTGTTAGGTCTGTCTGGATCTTTGCAAGAAAGAGATGTGATCTGACCGGCAACATCTGGTGGAATTTCAGTGTCAATACGTGCTCTCGTACACTCCACAGGGTCGGGCTCGTCTGTGACATTGAAAACAACTGTTGCGGTAGACGAGAGGAACTCGCCATCTACGGCCTGAAATATGAAAAAAAGTGTAATATTATCATGGATTTAAAAAAAGGTGCACTGAATGGAGACCATGAACGGTACAACTAATCAAGTGGTAGACCAGAGAGAAGGCGGCAGAATGACACCAGAGAGAGGACGGAAACAAGTAGGATATTATGGAGAACAGCTGATAGAACAGAGTGGTGGTCATTGTTGGAGGGCTACATCCTGAAGTGGACGGCAACGCCTAGAAAGAAAGAAAGAAAGAAAGAAAGAAAGAAAGAAAGAAAGAAAGAAAGAAAGAAAGAAAGAAAGAAAGAAAGAAAGAAAGAAAGAAAGAAAGATAATATCATGGTACATAATGATAATGTAATTGCCTTTTTTCTGTCATGCATACATATAATTGAATTAATTTAATTATGATGGGTCGCTGAGCGGGTGGTTGGTGGGTGTCGCTGGTAGGTTCTATTTCTTTATTTTCCCTCTGTTGTTTCTGTCTGTCTAACCTTTTCCCAACACTTAATGACCATTATTGTATTGATGTGCTTTTTTTTTTTTTTTTTTACTCAAACTCAAACAGGTATTCGGTACAAGACTAGATCTTTGAGGAAAGGAAACAGCCTTTTCAAACTGATATCAAACTCACCGTAACTACGAAGTAGTGCAGTGCCGGAGTCAAACGTTCTGCGACATAAAAATAACCAAGAGAAACCCCTGGAACAGTCTCGTTTCTGAATGCAATCTCGGACTGGGAACCTGTAACAAAATTGTAATAGTTGAAACGTTAGGCTCTGGGCGCTTTACAAAACAACAGTAACATTTAAACAGTACATTGTGTTTTCACCAAATTTCTTCTTTTTTCTTAAAGTGTTTTGCGGCACTCGCAACAGCATAATGCATATGAGCGCACGGGACACACCAAACATTTTCAGGTAGTAGGAAATTTTGAATTTTGCCCGGGTGGCGGCCGAAGCCTACTCTTATCGATTTTGGATCACCAAGGGATCTTTAACGTTCGCAACTTGCACACGAGACCTCCGAGATTTTTCGCCTTTGTCCGAGAAGGCTAGGTGTCGATCTTTCCTACCATAAGATGAGGGGTGTGACTGAAAGACAACTGTGAAAAGTAGCCAAGGAGAAACAGTAGAAAGGCTGCAGAAAGAGTCAGAAGCACAGAGTAGGAAGCAAAGGAGGTGACGGGATGGGGGCAGAAATTGGAGACGAAAGCAGACGACAGAACATTGTTAGAGAGCACGAAATGATGTGAAGGAGAAAATTTAAGAGAAGAAAATGTGTCCTGTGCACTCTGGATTCGAACCCGAATTTCATTATTTTAAAAACAGAAATGACGTCAGCTGACTTTTGAGTTAATTTATTTTTTTTAAACATATATCGTTCTTATCTCTCCCCCTTCTTTCCTATGAAATATCTATCGTCCTTATCTCTCCCTTCCTATGAAATGTCTATCGTCCTTATCTCTCCCCCTTCTTTCCTATCAAACATCCATCGTCCTTATCTCTCCTCCCTCTTTCCTATCAAAAATCTACCGTCCTTATCTCTCGCCTTTCTTTCCTATCAAACATCTATCGTCCTTATCTCTCCACCTTCTTCTCTTTGCATGTTACATTTTAGTAAAACCCCTAATCTTCGGCACGTACGTGACCTATATGTGTTGCAAGTGCGGTAAAACTCTTACTGAAACTAAACTAAACTGATAAAGACAAAGAAGTGTGTGTGTGTGGGGGGGGGGGAGTTGCGTTCAAAACAAGGACTTGTATTTTTTTTAAACCTTAGGGGAAGGATTTCTGTAACGAGCGACCACCCCAACAAACACAATAAAGAAGAGACCTAACCCTAACCTTAACCCTATCATTGACCCTAACCCTAGCCCTAACCCTAATCCTAACCCAAACCCAAACCCACACCCAGACCCTAGTCCTAACTCTTATACCCAGTGCCCATTGATGCGATCGGATCGGTTCGGTTCGATTTGGTCGGCGGGGCGCTTTTCCCTTTCGTCAACCCGCAGCCACTTCCCGAATCGTCAGCCACATACGAACCTTTGACACGGGTCAAACTTCCATCTAGATTATTTATAGGTAGTTACCGGAACATGTATAGGTGAAGTGATGTGCCGTGATAGTCGCGATATATTATTTATTGAGATTGCTTTGGTCTCTCTTTACTCATCACCATGAGAATTTCTTAAAGATTTTCCCTGGACTCTGCCTGTACTAAAATCTCGAATCTAGATCTAGATCTAGAGTTGTAATCTAGATCTAGTGGCAAGTTGCAGATTTCTGTTATCTAGAACATTCACTGGTGCAGTATCAATTGACTTTTTGTCATCATGCAGGACAGTTCTTATTACATATATTTAACGGGTCCAGTGCACGTCGATATTTTGTGTGGGGTGTAGAAAGTACGAGCAGTTTATTGCCTCTCACTTATTTAAATTAGACTAGACTCTAGACTCTAGTAGTAGACTCTTCTACTTCTACTTCTAAACCTTCGAGATTACAAAGGCCAAGCCTAAGCTTGTAAGGATTCGTTTTGTTAAAAGTGTTGTTTAACACAAAGTCTAAGTAGACTCTAAGAAGTTAGCAAACCTAACCCATTTTTTTCTAACGAAATGAAGCTTAAATTGACTTTTATATTGTCAATAAGAGATCAAGTTTAATCACCTAATCATTTAAGTAAGGAAGTGGCTATCCTCACCCGGGGTGAGAATAAAAACCCTACGCCCTACTATTGACCTCTCACCCCGGGTGAGACTTGCCAGCGTTGGCTATTCTCACCCAGTGTGAAACAAGACCTGTTTTTCCTAATTTCGAAATACTTTCTATCGTTGTGGATGACCAAATTGACAAAAGCAAAGAAAAAATGACGTTATAGCACAAAAGTAAGCTAATTTGATCATCTACAAAGATGCTATGACTCTTTCACTTTTCGAATCGAGCCGAACTACGCGGGTCGCTATTATTTTTTTTGCTCGGAAGTTCTCGCAAGATCTACTCCTCCCCCTTCTCTCTCTCTCTCTCTCTCTCTCTCTCTCTCTCTCTCTCTCTCTCTCTCTGTCGGCAATTTATTAAATCTGCAACCTGCAACTAGATTACAACTAGATCTAGATTCGAGACTTTAGTAAAGGCAGAGTCCAGGGAAAAACATCAATTAAATTCGTGTGGTGCAGATGAGTAAAAAGAGACCAAAACAATCTCTCTATTCCGACTATCATTGCACATCACTTCGCTTAATACATGTTCCGGTAGATTTAACTACCTATAAATAAATGGAAGTTTGACCCGTGTCAAAGGTTGGGAGATGGCTGACGATTCGGGAGGTGGCTGCGGGTTGACGAAAGGGAAAAGCGCGTCGGCGGGCCTAGCCAGATTGAGGGCAAAAAGCGACGATTGTGGCACAAACCGAACAAAGCCAATGGTGACCCTTTAAAAAAAAACGCTTTGGTTTTCAAAGTCACGAGTCGGGCGATCGGTTTGCATTTTTCATAGTAGTGCGGCTAGGTTCCTGATTATTAATAAAAGCTAGGAACCATAAGAATCGACTCCAATCCCAATTACTTACTTCCTAATGATGTGATTTCTTCCAATTGTTACCTGGTTGGCTCCGAACATCTTCGGGAGGTAGGATAACCTTGATTTTGGAACACTAGGAAGCATCGACTTTTATTTTTCAAAAATACATTTTGAAAAAAACAAGAGAAAAGATTTGAATAATAAAGGTAGCTGGTAACCGTTGGTTTGTGTAAAAAGGAGTCGGAACTTTTCTTCCGTAGCATTAATCGTGGGAATCGGTTCCGGATTCAATTCTTCGCCCAGCTCTAGTTTGCTTTAGCGAATCGATTCCCTATGGGCGCTGGGTATAACCCTATTCTTAGCTTTAACTCTAGCCCTAATCCACTATCTATTTCATATTGATCGCTCGTAACGGAATTCCTCCTCTCCTTGATACAAAGCTAGTCACCAGGGGAGTGAAGCGAAAAGACCTGGCGGTCAATGACTGAAGCCAAGTGCGCTTTGATATGTGGGAAAGAGAGGATGTGTGAGAGAGTGTGTGTATGTATATATGGATGTGCACATGCGCGTGCGTATGAGTGTGTGTTAGTGTGTGTGTGTGTGTGTGTGTGTGTGTGTGCATATGTGTGTATGTGTGTGTTTGTGTGTGTGTGTGTGTGTGTGTGTGTGTGTGTATGTGTGTGCACGCACGTGTGTGTGTATGCGTGTGTGTGTGTGTGTGTACGTGGTGAAACACCAAACCAATGTGCCA